GCAATGGAACGCACGGCATTGCGGTACCGCACATTCCGACTGAACTGTGGGCGGGTGGTGCGTTTGGGGTGCCATTCAAATAAATGGCAACGCAAAGCACCTCCCACACCAGAACGCATAGTAGGAGCAATTGCATGTTACCGTGCGATAATCACACGGGACTGTTCGATTAACGCACTGCACTAGTGTGAACAGGCCCTCATAAAACACTGACAAACATACATAACCACAGACCACAGACACAGACTCACACACTCACAGACATTCTCAACCACACATACACACTACAAAATGTTTTTCTTTTTTTAGATCTACCCAGCCTCCCTACCGTACAAGAACTGAAGTGGATCCTCAGCCTGGGGTCCAGTGTGACAGAGCTCCATCCATATGTGCATTGCTTGTACAGCTCCCTTGCATGCCCTGTAAAAGGTGCAGGGAGCCAGAATGTGATGCCATTCCAGTCCAGGCACCTCTACAAGACATGCGAGGGAGCTGTAAGCATGATATGTATGTATGTATGGAGCTTCCTTGCTGCCATAGCCCCAGCCCAAGCTGGCACTCGACACCAGGCAGCTTATTTTGAATGGCTGCTCGGTGCGAGAACTGACAGTGCTGCGCTAGGGGAGGCTGAGGAGCCTCTCAAATAGAAAAGTGGAAAGCACTAGGCGACCCGCTGAACACGGGGTCACGACCCACCAGTTAAGAACCAAGGCTATAGAAGACACGCAGCACTCGCACCTGGGCAGATTTGAGTTCTTCATTTAATTCTAGACATCTCTGGAGATAATTCTATGTTTCTGTTACAAGAGAGTAAAAGGAATATTGCATAATATGCACTGAATAATATATATATTCTTGGAGAAGACAGGCCTGCTCAGGTCTCATCCTTTGCTGCACACCACAGTCAGGTTCGCTTATATAAGTGGACCATGCATCACGGATTCTCACCACTTAAAATGTATGTAAAGGTAAAATAAATAACACATGGAGTACGTGTGTGCAATACATGCACATTTTCCTGCATGTTTTATCCATTTAATAGAGATTTATTGGGAAAGTAAAATATACTCTTCCCAATACTTAGAGCCGGCGTGGGACACAGCAGCTGTCACCCGCCAGCTCCATACCAGGAGCTAAGCGATCATGTAACTGCTGATCGCAGTTAGTAAATGTACTCCTGTGACCCAAAAGAGAAGTAAAGCCGCCCCAAAAAAGTGTTTGGCTTTACTTCATTTTTAAAGAACCAAGTAGAGATACCTTGTTGCCAAATGCATTCAGCTCCTACCTTCCTCTTGTGCAATGACATCACATATCTTTTTGTGGATTTTAATTGCAAGACTTTGTGTCAGCCCTGCCTAGTTGCCTGTTGTTAAACTACTGAATCCTGCCCATTCTTCTCATCTCCACAGCACAGACACAAATTGTTCTGTAGCACAAGATAAGAATTGTGAAAACACCTTGAATTACATAGCGTGCACAGGACAGCTAAAAGTTACAAAGTGTGCACAGGTCAGCTCTGAATTTCTACCTTGATAAGTAGTTGTTTTTATTCGCACTTACTGAACAGATATTTCAATGGTATATTTAACAAACCAAAAGGAAGTAAATAAGCAGGAAGTTTAAATTATTATATATTTAAACCCAAACTAAAATATATTTTGATTGCTAAAGTAGATTGTACGTATCATAAACAAATGGTATTATATAACATAAAACACTTCGACCCTCAATAATCCATTGCTGCATCTCAATGCTACTGATCCCTTGCAGCCACTTCCTGTTTACATGCATCAGGAGTGTGGAATTCCTATCGCCCGACACCCGGGACAGGCAGTTTCGGGCGTCGGGCGAGTAGTTTTTTTTCTACATTTAGCCCGGCTGCGGGCAAGCAGCACTGCTAAATGTAGTGTGGGAGCCGTTTTGTACGAGCGATTTTAAACGGCTTAAAATCACTCGTAGCCTGCCTGAATCACGCTTCTCCTCTCCTCCCCCCTCCCTATCTCCAGCGGCAGGCCGGTCGTGTACTGCTCCCGGCTGCCTGGCTCTCTGCACCTGGGCTTCCTTTTTGCTGTAGTCTTCGGGGTCCCCCCCTCTTGTGGGGTATTGATGACCACGGCAAATTAGGTTCCAGAGCATGGAGCAAGGCAGAGAACGGTTCTCTACTCTGCTCCATGTGTGCAGTGACACAGGAATGCAGCCTTCCTGTCACAGGAGAAATAGCACAGAGCTGGGCTAGAACTCCTGTGTTGGAGGTGACAGCGTCAATAAAAAGAACCTGTCACGTCCAAAAGCTATCACACAAGGGCTTGTTACCCTTGTGTGATAGCAATAAAGTCAAGTGAAAAATAAAATATATAACACTTAAAAATGTAAACATAAAATTGGAAAAAAAAAAAATGTAAATACATAAGAATAGAAGGGAAAAAAAGGCGATAAAGTAAAAAAAAAAAAAAAAAATTACAAAGCAAAAAAAAAGTTAAATAAAATCAAAAAAATTAAAACCAATCCCTATCATCTGGATGCGAATAAACGCATGCATGGGGCATTGTGTGAGTGGGCGATCTGTTGCCACACGGCAATCGTGCACAAAAGCGTGTGGATGGCCGGGCGGTCACAGAATCTCACACCACCGCCGATTACGCTGGCAGTGCCATTATTGTCTAACAGCACCCCAGTCGCACAAGGCAGATTGCGCAGTTTCAAGGCCGCAATAACGCCCGTGCAAATGCACATAATCGCGATTGAAAACATTCAGAGATTACCACGCGGATGTAACCCCATTGAAATCAATGAGGCCGCGAGGCAACCGGACACGGCCTCGACCAAGTCTGCACCTGCCCCAAACGGTAAATTCACTTTCCCAAGTAATTTGGAAAAATGCAATTACCCGCACAAATCTGGTCCAGACACCATGCCCCCCACTATACTTACCATTCAGGGAACGGTCCTTCCCATCCGCCAGTATGGATGTACTATCTGTACCTGTGCCATTGTAATCTGAATTTCGCTCTCAAAATTCAAGCACTCGTTGGTCAGCGCAGTCATCTGATGGCACTGACCAACAAGAAGCTCTTCTTGGCATTGCTAAATACGGTTATGGTTAAATTTTTTTCTTTTTTTGTATCAGGACAAGTAGATTTTCATGAGGGACAAGTAGATCAGGCCCCCGCTTTAGTCCTTGGACGAGTAGTTTTAAAAAAAAATTTCCACACCCCTGATGCATACAATCCTGCAATTACTGCATAGCATTTCTTCGGGCAAGTTTTCTGATGGTGAACAGTGGACTATGCCGCCATCTGAAATCCATGCGACAGGTTGATAATGCCAGAGCAGAATGAGACAGGGACAGAGTGTTTTCACAATATAACAGGTAGTGCCTGCACAAGGACCTTAACAGCAGTCAATAGATATGATGCTAACTAGCAAAAGTGCATGTTCATGAAAGCAGTCATTTTTTTAAGTCAGCGCAGGTTGTTGATTGTGGTAATTTGTGCATGTAGAATGTTTTATGTAAGATCATTTACATTTTAAAAGCTGCAGATTTAAAAATACTGCTTTTAGCAAAACACTAACATGTTAAAGCTTAACCACTTCAGGAACACTGTACGTGTATATATGTCCACATCCTGAAGTGGTTATTAAAATTTGTTTGTACTAATAAGTACCGCAGCGCTGAATACTGAAAAATGGCCTGGATGGGAAGGGGGTTTAACACCGCGGATGTCAACTGGTTAAATAAGAAATATGATAAAATGTAAAATTACACAAACTGTAGTCTGCCAAAACAGTAGTGTAGTCCCTTTTTTTTTTTTTTTTAATCACAGTAACCCCTGTAAGTATAAATGCCTTGTGATTCTGCTAGTAGACTACTTGAAGCATCACTTCAATTAAGGTGACAATGCTGTTTCTTTCTATAGTGAAATCACTGTAGAGTTGTCACCCTTCAAGTCATACCCATATCCTCCCACTTACTGTGCTGCCAGCAGAGGGAATAGATAGCAATTCATCTGTCAATCATCTTCAAGCTGACAACAGGAGAGGAAAATAATTTTGGAAGTGTCTTGCCTTCAGGAGCCAGGAAGACAGTACAGGTGATCTTTCAATAGAAGATGTTAGGTGCAAAAATTAACATTTCTAAATGTTCCTTAGAACATGGGAAATCTGCACTTGTTAAGCTCATGTCCACTTTAACTCACCCACCTGCAGTACTGATAGGAAATGCAGTTTAGCAATAGCATGCAATTTACCAGGAAATTACATGCAAACATGCTGTGACCCCCCCACCTCTTTTCAGCTAGCACACGTTTCTACAGGAATAACAGATAAAACAGTTTTAAAAAATGAACATTTAGGCTATACATGTCAATGCAAGTGAATGAAAAAAGTTAGGAGACTTACAGCTGTAAGGCAAAAATTTGTACTTAATTTTTCCAGCTACATTTAGCCCAAGTGCTCTATTTACTATGGCAAAACCAACATGCAAAAAGAGCAGGAATTAATGGCTGCCGGGCATTCATCATTGCGCTAGCTACCTCATACCAATGTAAGCTGAGACTGATCTATGGATTTGTACCCATCATAACTCAACATTGCCTTAGAAAATAAGTGTATGCATGACTCCCAGTCACCCAGGCTTATGACACAGACATGAATAGGCCAGATTAAACCAGAAATCTTTCAGAATGTTTTGTTTGACTCTTGCCAGTATTAAGCAAAATGTGTTTTGGGTCTCTAGGTTTACAAAATATTTCACAACACTGTAATTTTAACATTAAATACATTCTACTCTAGAGATAGCATTTGCCTATCTATAAAAGACGAACATTCCCAAAAAATGGCATATAATGTCTTTATTTATGTTTCAGAAAGACAAAACATGTCTTATAAATATTGTAGATTCCATAGTGACATTGGCTGCTCATAAGGCAGCAGCATTAACATGTCTTCACTGTCATGAGGATATTTAGAGTAGAGTGTTGCCAGGCATAGAACCAGGAGCAGATTCTGTTAACAAGGCTTAACATTTTTCTCTTTCACTTCAGCCAAATGTACTTGTCCCCAACATCATTATTGAATCCGTATGCATACTTTTTACCTGGAATCTGTAGAAAGAAACAAAACACCAGAATTGTAAACATATAATAGACACAAATAAGAAGTCGCATGCATCAGTAAAAATGTCTCTTACATCATGGTACTGATAGTACAACTTGTCATATGTTAATCCTCCAACTGTGACTTCTGGGATGAAGGAGGGCAAGACAAAGAGATTAGCAACTTTGGCTTTATCTTGCACCCTGCAAATAGGATAGAACAAAAGTGAGTCACAGATAGCCAAGGTAAAAAGACAGAACATAAAATCTTTACTCTTAGTCTGGACCACAATTAGCCGTGCAGCATCGGGCTTTTTAGGTGTGGTTTTCATGTGCCAAGTAAACAATCTACACAGGTAGGCCGACTCATAAATGTGCTTACATTTCAGAGAAGATAAAAGATTTATTAAAAGGAGAGTTTAAAGTGTATCTAAACCAAAAGGCATTTTATATATCAAAGCTTACCAGTCATTAGATGTGGTGAATAAACATGTTTCCTTTATACCTGATGAGCCAGCTAATAACACATTCTTAGGGTGACAACGTGCACTGTACTGTAATGCATCTATGAAGCAGCAGAGTTGTCACTCTAAGCTGCTCATCCCTGATTGGTTAAGGTGTTTTGTAGTTCATAGAAGAGAACTGGGCAGGGCTGATGACACTGCTCGGGATTTCATGGCAGCACATGCAGGCTAACCAGGAAGTTACAAGCTCCATGGAATTCGGGCAGGATCAACAGATATTCTTCTGTAATTGCAGCTTTTTATATTACGAGACAAAATATGGGGAACTGTGCATGTATTGGAAACATGTACTGGCTAAGCTTTTTACTGCCCTGACATACACTACACTTAAGCTATTAAAAACCTGCAAAGTTATTGAAAGTGCTGCTATACTACAATGTTTTATTGCCTTGTCTGGAGGGCATGAAAAAGAACCATTTGCAAAACGTTTGTATTAGAGAACAATTAATATTACATTGAAGTTGGCTAAACCTGTAAAAATCAAGCTGTTCCAGAAAAGAAATAGGTAGAACTTACAGAATACGTAAATGATGAAAGGTGACGTCAGATTGTTCTAACCATGGACCTTTAGTAGCCTTTGTGTATTCAACATCCTCAGCAACCTGCAACGTGGACAAAGTGGACTCAATGTAAAACAGCTCTGTTCCCACAGATATACAGTCAGAACTGACTTAGGTCCAAGTTACCCAGGTAATTGTTAGCTTCTGGAAAAATAATCTAATTCTACTCAAGTTAATAAAGGGTCACACTATCACCTCTAGAGTATATGCCCAGCCTATGGGATTGTGAGCTTTACCTCTATAATAGGCACTGCCTCTTCAGTAGCAAGTGTTAGAAAGAAGCATAAAAGTTATCCAACAAAACACTGGAAAAGGTAGTGGTGGGTTCTGTGGTCCCCAAAACGTGCAGTCATTCACAGGGGTTTATAAACGTTTCTCCTGTATTATGCATTTACTACAAAAGTAAACTGAAAAAAAAGCACTTGGGATTGATTACATATTAAAGCGGAACAAACCTTCTCTCATAGCCAACTACCAGAACTATTTTGGCCCTATAATTTCTTAGAAACAGTTAACTTAAATTTCTCTATGAAGAGGTGAAAACAAAAGGATGCAAGCAGACCCGGTATACACTGTAACCAATTTGTTTTTCATTTTACTTTGAACTGGAAAATGTTTGCTTTGCATAACAGCTGATATTTTGCCTGCATTGTTCAGCAAGTTTTACAAAAATAAAATATGACTATTGTCTCCTAAATCATTATTTTATGTTATATTTATATAGCACCATCATACCCTGCAGCACAAAATGTCATATGGAAACTGAAAAACTAAACCATAGGAGCACAGATCATAAACAATAATGATGTTTATGAACATTGAAATAGTCAGTTAAAAGATGCAAATCAACCACATAAAAACTTGACTAACATTCCATATATTTAGGTTAGATGCATCAGACACACAAATTTGCACCATGAACAATAAATGTTTGCAGACACTACAAAATATTTATATGGTATAAGCTATAGTTGACATTAAGAGTGTGTCTGCAGAAAAATTACCAATGATTAAAACGCATTTCCAAAACGCTTTAGCTCAGTTAACGAATTTACGGAAATAAAGCAAATTGGTAACCAAAAGTTTTACCCTTTTCCTGCATATTATGTACATTAAAGTCTTTACATATTCTTAACAAGCAGTAAAATAGCTTTAAAACAAGCAATCACTGCAAGTACTGTAGAGTAATTCATCCTCGAAAATCACAACAGAGGCACTGAAGTCCAGTTTCAGTGCGTTTCTAACAGCTTACGGCACCTGCCGTTTGTTTACTTTAGAAGGCTGACAGACTGACAAAAGAATCAGCTGTTATTTCAGTGTCCCTGTTGTGAACTTGAATTTCACCACAGTACATGCAGCTACAAATATCATTAGAGGCTTATTTTTAAAATCTCTTTTACAGGGCTGAATCAACTAATCGAATGAATCAATAATAATCAATAATGAGAATCGTTGTCAACAATTCTCATTATCGATTAATTCATCTCCACTAGACATGACACAAGACTGGACCAATTAGGAAAGAGCTAGAGGCTGTGCTTACCAATCTGTGCTGCAAGTCTAGCCGGAGGGCAGTGCTGGCTGTGGCAGTGGGTTGGGTTGAAGTGTAGTGTGGGGGAAGGAAGATGGAAGTTGTATGGAGTTAGTGCAGGTTTTGGAGCTTCTTCCGGGTTTTATTGGTGTGGAGGGTGAGAATGGACAGTCAGCATGGAGCAGCCTGCGCCAAAGAGGTAAGTCGCACAGCGGTCACCATTCACTGGGGGAGAGGGGTACTGAGGCCTCAGGGTCAGTACTGGAAGCAGAGGCCTCAGTCCTGCCATGTCCATCGGTTACTGAGGAGAAGCTGGAGCCTACATCAGAGCTCTGTCTGCTCTCTGCTTAGTGTGATCAGATATTGTGTGCAAATCACTTACATAGAGGGCACTGACCTATCACACACTGTACCAGCACACTGACCTATCACACACTGTACCAGCAGTGACACACTGGCATCTCACCCACTGACATGGAGTGTCACACGCTGTACTAGCACTGACATGTCACACACTGTACCAGCACTGAAATCACACACATTGTACCAGAACTGATATACCAGCATGTCATACACTGTACCAGCACCAACATCTCACACCCTGCACCAGCACTGACATCTCAAATCTTTTACTAGCACTGACAAACTGACATCTCACACACTGTACCAGCACTGAATCACTGACACCACCGTGTACAGCACTGATCACTACGATGTTTAGAAATAATTAAGGACACAGTATTCAGATACTGTGTCCCCAATAATAAATGAACAGGAAGTGCTCTACATCATTTCCTGTTCATTCATGATTGTGGACATAGTATCCGTCTACTATCACCTTGATTTGAAAAAGGAACAGGAAGCCTCTGTACTGAGTGCTTCCTGTTCATTGAGTGCTGGGGCTGCAGAAAAAAAGATGGAGGACTCGTGTCCTCAATCTCTTTTTTTTATTTCAAAAAGGGAAATATCAGGGTTCAGACCCTGATATTTCCCCAATGCCCCTAACAGTAAAAGTAAAAAATAAAGAAATAGTTAATTATTTTACAGGATTTATATAGCGCCAACAGTGTGTGCAGCGCTTTAACAAATAAAGCTGCCCCCCATTATAAAAATAAATAATTAAAAATGTGGGGAAAAAAAGTCATTTTCGGTTTTGGCCTGACAAGCTCTGGTGCGGGAAGTGCGTTTTTTTTTAATGATTAATCAAAAACATAATTTGGCCAACTAATCGATTATGAAAATAATCGTTAGCTGCAGCCCTACTCTTTTACTGCTTGTTAGGAATATGTAAATATCATAGTCTGGGCACTTTACACTTTAAACATATAATACTTATACTACACTGGACAGAGATAACAGAATAGTACCTGTGAAATTTAGTTTCTTCCTGCATCAAGCCAAGAACCTGTTTCGCTTACCTGCTCTACAGTTAGTGCATCACCTCCAGTATACTGTAAAACCTCAGTTGTCTCACTACAATGAAAGAAGAATTTTAGACAACAGTTCAGAAAGTTTTTAGACAATTATGTATATACTTTTCCAATTTATGTTTTGAGTGCAAACTAAAAATGAAGGGGAGAAGCTGACTGGCAAGCTAAGGGTAACCTTAATGGTTTTTCCTTCAAATTCATCCAAATCCTGAGATCTACTGGTAGGTGAGAAATTATTATTTTTATATGTTACAGTATAGAGTTATTCATTTTTTCTAAAAGCCATTATTTCTACTAAATCAGTGTTTGATCCCAGAAGTGTTTTTTTTTTTCCACAAACAAAATGGGTTATTTTTATATTCTTCTCATTAGATGCCTCACAGAATCAATCTCACAGTTGATGCCAGCCAGAAGCTAGCAGTATTATAAATAGCAATAACCTATGCCATACCACAAATCAATAATTGAAAGTGTATGCTGTCATTTCAGCTGATGTCTGCGATTTGTCATTGCGAAGTTTAAAAAAAAATAAAAACAACACACAGGAGTGGAAATACTACCCGTTATAATCCGATATCATTCTCACCTAATCTTGGGGAGGAAAGATGTTTTGTATGCATCCTCAATGCTCTCGAGGTACGATAGGGCCACTTTCTTTTCAAAAGCCTGAAAAGAGAACAGTGTCAGGTAGTGGCAAAAAACAAGTGCAAGAAGAATCAGACCGTGCATAGGAGGTTTGCACTAAATTAAATATTTATATTTAGCCAGATTTTTAAAAATTACATCGCCTTTCTCCTGGATCTTCTTGTACACTTCAGCTGCAGGGACATCCACATATATAGCAATATGTGGAGGCAGGAACTCATCGATGCTTACATTCTTTGCCTCATTATAATGAGTCACACCTAAGACAGGAAAGGCAAAATAAATAGATATGTAAAATGCACTTAATAGACCGAAAGATCAGTAAATAAGAATATGTAAAGCCCTGAAAAAGGTGATATCAAAATATGTGATCCTGGCAAAATTTAATGAGATTGAACTGTGCCAAGATCAAATTGCTCTTCATAAATTAGGATGTTCCTGTTAGATTATGCTTTAGAATACAGCTAGCACTCAAGAAAGACACAATGCAATAATTTAAGAGGTTTCTACTCTCCAATTCTAATACTGCTAACCATAAGCAAGCAGGCAACATGTAGTTAAAGTGTAGTGGCTGCATTAGCCTTCACTTTATAAGAACATTTTCAGCAAGTACAGAAATACCATTTGATCTCTCCAGAATTGCAATATTCTTTTCTATATAAAGTCAAAAAACATTTTAAAAAGTAACTCCAGGAAGTTTTCTGCAGCACTGGGGGAATTATAATGTGTACGTGACACATTTGCCAAATATGTAGCCACAAACTCTTAGCTCTTCCTAGTGTTCATCACATGCCAGAACACTTCTATTCCCTACACCCAACATCTTTTTAATAGAAGTAGTTGACCCTATACAAGCAAATGGGGATTTCAAGGCAAAGCCATTTTGCACACCACTTACTGGAGTATAGCTTTTGGATAGAGTAGAGAAGGGTCAAGACCCCATTCACACTGAGTGATTTGTAGCTCGTCCAATGCATTTCAATGGAGCTGTTCACATATCACAGCTCAATGCCACCTGTAGCTTGCAGCTCAAGCTTGTTGCCCCACCAGGTCACTTTTTGTTGACTGTGTTCTGCTAGGGAGATTTTCCTCTGTACTTCCTGCCTTGTGATGCAACACAAGGCAGGCCTATATTGACTGACTGCATCAAGCCTAAATTGCTCAGTCACAGATCTGCCACAAAGATGCAGAAAATGAAACTTAAGCTGGCCATGCATTATCTTGTTCAGCCCCACAAATTGAACGAGCATGGCATACCCTAATGTATTCTGACAGCAGTGAGCTGATTGGCTGCAGTCACTATTCCACTGGTAATTTTTGAGTAGTGCATGGTCAGCATTAGAGAAATTCTTTATTTCTACACTTTCCTCAATTCAGAGAGCACTGAAGCAAAAATACATCAGCATGAAAGCCAGAAAATCTGCATTTTGTGTCACTGTGGTCAATAATAGCAGCCCACATGCTCTCAAGATGGCTGTCGCTCTTCAAAGACAATTTTGCATTTTATTTCAAAAGAGACAGCAATGAGAAAAGCAGGGAAACCAATGTTTGCTTGAGATAGATGCAGTAAAAAGTAGTGGTCCTCCCTTTCTATGCCTCGAGGTGTTAAGGGACAAAGATCAGGAATTACAAATTCTATGAGCAGCTCCACCAACTGAAACAAGCTGACATTGTGGCAGAATCACAAAATAAAACTGTCCTCTATGGAAGTCAGTATATTTGACCATAAAGTAATGTAAATGACAGAAGGATGGTGATTTGGCCGTCAGAAACCCCTATTAAATATGTAAACAAAATGTAATCTTCTTAAAAAATCTCTGACACAAGAAACAGCCATCCTAACAGCAGAAACCACATGATAAATAATTGAAAATGCCAAGCTATACAACTGCAACCTTTGGCTTTTATTTTCTTGTATGCAAGTTTTGAATCCCAGGGAAAGCCAATTTAAAAAAAAAAAAAAAAAAAAAAAAAAAAACAACAACAAACACACAAGTGTTTTTTACCAAATAACTTATTTTGGAAGTAGCAACATATTTTACTTACATTCTGGGCGAATGTATCCATTCTTTAACATGGCTTCAAGGAAAACACAATCACTGTAGGGAGATCGTTCCAATATCACTCCCTGACCTATAAACAGACATTCCAGTTATTTGTAGTGAACTTTACTATTGTAATTATATTTTGCTGTAATAGTTTTCAACAATAGGAAAATACCAGTCCAGTATTGGGACAAGCTGGGAAAAATGCCATTGCATGGACAACCAGCGAATGAGGCAAGATCGTAAGCATCTCCTGGAATTGTTTGAGGAATTCACGATTTGGCTCTAGAGATTCATCCTGGGATTTGTTGCCTAGCTCCAGCTTGCAATATATTTACAAATGATAAAATACTCTTGGAAGGTTAAATATTAGAGGTGCACCGAAATGGAAATTTTAAAACTGAAATTAAAAAAATTGTCAGGCCGAAACCGAAATTTTTTTTTTTAAATCTTAATATTTTATTTGAATTAATTTTTTATAAACTTTTATTTTTTTTATATTTATTAATTCATTTTGTATTAAATATTTTTATTTTTCACTTTCATTTCTCCCCGCTGGAACACAGAGCAGCGCCCAACGGGGAGGAAAGAAACCAGGGATGCGCCGATGTATCGGCCGAAACATGGCTCTTTCGGCATTATTCCAAAAGTGCCATTTTCGGCCGATATGTTTCGGAAGCCGATATATCGGTGCATCCCTATTAAATATGTTTGGTAACAAAATCTTTTCATGTATGAATGTATAGAATGAGAAAAAAAATTAGAACCCTTGTTGGGTTCTCACAGATGTCTGGGGCTTTCCGAGACCTTTACAGGGGATATCAGTAAAAATCCAACAGAAGTTCTAATCCTTGTCTATTATAACAGAAAACAAAAATGGAAAATTGTTATGGCCTTAGGGTTAGAGGTAGGGATGTCCCGATACCGATGCTGGTACCGGGGCCGATACAGGGCATTTTCAGGAGTACTTGTACTCCTGAAAATGCCCCGATGCCTAGATCAGATACCGGCTGTTTAAATTTTTTTAACTAGCTTCAGCCATTGACCCCCATAGCCCCTCCCCCGGAATACCACTCCACCAAACGAGGCTCCCTCTCCGCTCTGACATCTCCGGAAGTGTGACAGCATGGCGGGGGTAAGTGTTGTGTGGACAGTCTCTTCCTCCTGCTGGTACTGGCTGCAGAGCTATGTGTCCCTTTCACAGACCGCTGTAGTCAGCACGAGAAGGTAGAAGAGATGGCAGCTGTGAAATCCCCCGCTGCCCCCCTCCCCCCTGTATCTTAGCTGCTGCTGCTCCTCCGTGTCCCGTCCTTTTCAACTTTATGAATCGGTTTCCTTTTGGTGATATATCTCAGTGTGAGATGCCTGTGCTCCTTGCTGCACAGCAGTTTTCAATCTCATTGTAAGAAGAGAATGTCCGTTCAGTGTGCTCACGGGGAGAGAAGCTGTAAATCTTGCCTTCACACAGAACGGACATTCTCTTCTTTCATTGAGAGGGAAAACTTCTGTGTGGGTCTGGTGAGAGCATTATTAAACACATAAGGTGCATGGACATCTTACACTGAGATATACCACCAAAAGCAAACAGTTTCATCAAGTGGAAAAGGAATGGACACTTGTAAAAATAGTTCCTGATCACAGTAAACAATCAGCAGCCAGCAGGACAGGCTCTCAATCATGTGATTGCTGTGTCAGCCAATCACACAAGTACTCACTGCAAAATGTTCTCTAAAAAGGATCAGGATGAGAGGTAAAAGGTGTTAAATGACTGTCACCTATTCTATGAAACTTAATGATTTCTGAGGGTTGGAAATTACTGTTAACTGAATGTTACAGTGGCAGCAGTTAAAGGGGTTGAACGCAATTTCTGCATAACACCCGTATCCACAGCACATACTGCTCTACACAAGGTTAATAAGTGATAAAGAAGCTGTTTTTCATTGAAGATGCTTATAAAAAAAGAGGCTAAACTTAAAAGGAGAACTGTGAGGTGATTCCAGCGCTGACTGGAGGAACTGATGGTGGAGGGGGTGGGCACAGCTGGCTCTGCCTCTAGATAGGCAGAGCCAGCTGTCACTCACGCAGCTGGGTGGATCTCGACAGCATTCTCGGGATCCGTCCCGGCTGTGGCAGTCTAAGTATACTGCTAGTTGTAGCTCGCGATATACTGAGCTTTGGGTCACAGGAGGACACTAGTATATGTCCTCCCATGACCCTTAAGAGAACTGTGGGGAAAAACACTTACCCTGTAGTTCTCTTTTAGGTATTTTCTGGTTGCTAAGAAAACTTCTACTTTAGGTAGGCATCGCTCTCCTAGCTTCCTTGCTAGCAATACACATAGTGGTACTTGAGGTTTTAATTTCCATTACCCCGTCAAGTAGATTTTTACCTCCCTTTCTCTCCCTGTGACCTCTGTATAAAAATTAGTTGTCATTGCAGCAAGGCAGCACTGTCACACAAGCCCTATATTAGCAGAATACATAGAAACTGTTTTAACACCAACAACTGATTAAAGCTAAGTTACGTCAGCATTTGACAGACCCCCCCACACCAGGTAAACTGGGCAGAACAAAAAACATTAAAAGCCACAACCTAAAGTTTTGGTGTTTTTTCTATTGTTGCCAATATGTATATTACCCGACTCCCTAAAAGAGGCTTCTTGCTCATGAACTAAGATGTTTGGCTCAGAGATCATCCATTTTTCCTGCCTTGAAATATATGCTTTATTATACCTGTGCTCAGAAGATGCTCCAAAGCGTCTGCGTACTGTAGCATGCGCATGCTGAACATCCAGTTCTGTAGGCGGTACGAATTGCCATCAGAGCACTTCGGGTCCTCATAAAACTTCTCCAGGCTGTAAATCCCACAGAATTTTGTAGGGAGGATTTTCCCATCGCCATAAACCTTGTCTAGATAAAACTGATCTGCTTCAGGGAAATATTTCATACCTGTAAAAAGGAATAAACCTAAGATATGCTCTGCAAGTCACACTTTAAATCCAAATAACCAATATCAGCACCTACATTTTGCCATCATCCAGTAGACTGGTTAACCTGCACCGTTCTGAACGCATTCAATAATACCGTGTATCTGCCAATATTCACATCTATTAATAAAATCTTGCCAAATGATACACTCAACCAGGAGTAAGAAGACTTGAAGGGCTGTGTCCTAATGGTTTCTGTACATTGTTATTTTAAATTAGAATTAATGGTGAGGCAAGTTGGATGAAGTGAGGAACAGAATGAGATCAGAAAAAAGTAAAAGGAAGAAGAGAACATTTCTGAACCATCATAAACAGTAGGGATGTTCAGATACCAGTATTTGTATAGGTGCCGATACTTGGCATTTTTACGAGAACTACCAGGGTTGCAGAGGTTGCAGCTGTGACTGGAGCCTGGCGCTCCATCACTGTCCTGAAACCATTAGTCTGTATTGTTTTAGAAAACTGTCATATGACACAAAAAAAGGCATCAGTAATTGGCATCTGTCAGTATTTGGACAAGTATCAGTACTTGTACTTGGTCTGGAAAGAATGGCATCAGTACATCCCCAATATATAAACAAATAAAACAAATCATACATTAAAACAGGGATGCACAAATCCCAGGAGCCCCATAGCCAATGCTCCTTAGAAATTACAGCTGCCTCGTAACTGTTGAGTTTTTTTTCTAGCCCAATCTTTCAATGGAACTGGAAAAATATCAGTACCTAGTATATGAGTATCAGTATAGTACTTGGTATCTGTGCATCCCTAATAAACAGCAAATGAGTGAAAGGGACAAACCCTAAAAGAATATTAAGAAACATTTTTCTTGCATGGCAGTTTTGTGCTGCCGGGGTTCTTAAAAGGAAAACCAGCAGAATCAAGTGAGGGGAATTTATCAAAACTGGAGCAGAAACAATCTGGAGTAGTTGCCCATGGCAACCAATCAGCTTTTTTCTTTCATTTTTAAATCTTAACTGAAACAAAATGAAGGGAGAAGCTGATGGATTGTTGTGCCACTGCTCCAGATTCTGTCTGCTCCAGTTTTGATAAATCCCCCCCAGATCATTTAATAGAATTTAGCCTGCAATGTTATAAGCTCCTCCATGGTTGAATTGTTATTGAAATGAGCGTTAATAGTTTTTTAATGAGACAGTATTATTCTGTTTGTATACCAGGGCTGCAAAAATCCCAGGAGCCAGGTAGCCAATGCTCCTTAAAAATCACAGCGTGTACCCAACTTTTCTCTAATTGCTGTCAATGGAGCTGACTCCTAAAAAAAATCCTGCTGGCTCCTGAATTGGACAGACTTGCTCCTGAACTTCATATCAATTTGTCCACCCCTGCTGTATACCCAAAACGTGTTTTCTTTTTTTACTTTTAGATGGGGTGAGGAAGTATTAGATTATGTGTCAGGTTTTTATTGCTGTCTGTATCTACAGTAGCTAGATTCACCCACTTTATTTGTCTACATTGTCTCCAAGACAAAGTGATGGAAATCCAAAACATTAGATCTGTCACCAGAACAAGAGATTAGAGGAATGGGGACACATAATCCAGAGGTAACTGTTAAAAGGGGAAATCCCCTCACTTTGAAGATATTTTTCTCACTTCCTGTTGTATTTCTGGAACCAGAAGTGAAGGAAAATCTCCCCAAAAGGATGCGGAGAGAAAAATAAATGGGAAAGGGTGGTTTTAACCCTTCCCTACTCTATCCAAAACAATGAAGTTCTGGCTTGAAAACATTTTAATTATCTCTCATTATTGATCAAATGACTGATAAGTGCTAAATAAACTGTGTATGAATACAGCTATTGAAGTTTTCAAAACACACCAAACAGTTCAGTTTGGTCAGGACCTATTTTATTGTAGTGAGTGAACAAAGGGAGTGAGATTTATCAGGATTAATATGAATTACAGTATCCCAAAAACAGAAGACCCTGTTGAATCACAAATGCAAAATTCTATATATTGATGCAAAATACATAAAAACTAAAAAAAAATTAAACACCCATTTAAAAAAAATATATATAACATGTACAAATTATTTTCTGTACTTTTCCACATTTGTACGATTTTCAAAGTAACACACATTTGTAATGCAATCTTAATAAAACAACAAATCTAGGACTGCAACAACTAATCGACTAAGTCGATTATTGAAAAAGTTGTCAACGTTTTCACTCATCGATTGATCGGCTAACGATTAGTTGGCCCTGTTCACGGCTCCAAACACGCTGCGTGCCGCCCGCCGCACCTCCTCCCTGCCTCATGCTCACCGCTGCCAGACCTGCCCGCCCGCATGCACCCTCCATTTTTTAAAATATATTTTCTTTTTTATCCGATTAATCGAACTGAATCGCCTAACAAATCGATTTTGAAAATAATCGTTAGCTGCAGCTCTAAAAAAATCAATAAGCATTTACACATGCTCTAACTTTACAAGTAGTGTTTGCACTCATGAAGCCTTTACTTTACGTAAGAAGAGTGCGAACATTAATATACAAATCAAGTGAAATTTGTGCTGGGCAAGGAACAACCTTATTACATGCGATTTAGTATCTGGAATTGTGCAGAGAATTTCCTATTAACCTGAAGCTTGTTAGAGAAATGGATATTCAGAGCTACAGAAATATTCTTGTTGTGTCTCCTACCCTTGTTTAGGTCAATGATGCCTCCAGTAAGGTGCAGCTTTCAAACGACTTTGCACATCTATGGACAACATAATAGGGATGCACCGATACCGGTATTTCGGTATCTAGTACGAGTACTGTTATTTTTTTTTCGGTTACTCGCCACTACCGAATACCAAGCCCCATTCAGGAAACCAGGCGGCGTATAATGACTCGCCACCTGGCTTCCTGACTAGCCGGGCAGCGTGTAAAGAGTCGCTACCCGGCTTCCCGATCAGTAGGGTAGCCGCCCCCATGCAGAAAGCATGGAGCCAGCTTTCTGGCCAATCAGGAAGCTGGGCGCTGCTTAATGACGTGGCGCACGGCTTCCTGATTGGCTGGGAAGCCGGCTTCATACTCCCTCGTCATGAGGTGACGAGGGAGCATGAAGCCGGCTTCCCAGCCAATCAGGAAGCCGTGCGCCACGTCATTAAGCAGCGCCCAGCTTCCTGATTGGCCAGCTTCCGACCAATCAGGAAGCCGGGCAGCGCGTCATTACACGCTGCCCGGCTTCCTGATACCAGAAGTATCAGGATAGGCATCGGAGCATTTAGGCGAGTATGAGTACTCGCCCAAATACTCTGCATCGGCACAGATACCGATATATAACATAATATAAGAGTTATTGACTGTATTGTACAAGTTGCACTTTATTGCATTAGCGTTAAGGCATTATCACTATTAATTTAAGGTTTGAAGATAAAGTTTAAAGGATAGCTGCACCTTAAAAAATGTAATTAGCACTTAAACTGTTAATGCATTTGGGATTATTTACTAAGGGAGCAGAGGTGTTAACACCAACTGGGTGGATATTCACTCTCCAATCGTTTGCAGATTAAATCAGTGAAAAGGAATTTGCTTTTCGTATGATTGGATAACTAAGGTGAATATTCACACAATTATTTGTGAGAAGATTTTTAACTTCATTCATAATCAGCCTCATTATGTTTTAGAAAGTCACCAAACTAATCTGTACTTCGAGACTCCAAAACTTGTGCAATTGTTGTCCACTTATTATATAGCCACCTCTCCTGCAGATGTGCTCACACCTGACCTAGGATGAGGCTGGTCCACAGGCTCTGCACTGAGTTTATTCAAAATATATAATTTCAAACCAAGACAAAACCTGCATTATGGTCTCCCAGCAGCACACTAGGGGCAGGCAGATGGGATGACATTAACAGAGGATGAAGACAGCAAAGGCTGCACAGTCCAAACACAAGGGTTGCATTTTAAGGGGTTTGTTAAATAGCTTTGCCCTTTCAGAATGGCCTGGCATTTGGGCATAGAGGAGGTAACTAAAAGAAGCTACAGGCATGTGTAGGCATCTTTAGATGCTTGCAATTCATACCTTTCAGTAACTTTAGTTTTGACAAAATCACTTTAACTCTTCCACAAATAGTGTTCTCATCTTTGGGTGAAATGACCCGTTAAGGATTGAACCTGTGAATGTAAGCATGTTAAAAAGGTGGTGTTAAATTTGGATAACACTGTGATTTATCTTACCGAGTCTTTGTGCTAGTTCTTTTGCAAGTTTCCCTTTGCCAGAGGCCAAGTTTCCATCAACCGTAACAATCTTACTGTTTGGTCCAAATCGTTTGGTTGTCCTCTCCCCCAACATGTATGCCCAGAAGCCATATTGAATCCCATGCTTTGAGCTGGCATGAAACTTGGACTAATCATAAATTAAAAACAAAGAAAATAGGGGTCACAATCATGGTCATAGCTACAATAACATGAGCAACAAAAGCTGTATTCTGTTGCATCATATCAAAGAAAACTGACTGAAAAATAGATACAAAGAGAAGAAAAAAAAACTGATGCAAAACATCAGTGTTAATGTGGACCCCCCCCCAAATATTAAGAGGGATGGAATGAGTTATTGGTGTTGTTGTGTCAACAGAAACCTCAAACATTAACAGACACTATAACTCTATTAAAAAAATAAATACTAAAACATACTATTTCCACTACTTGAGTCACTGTCCTGGAACACATATGCAAACACAGGTGATACCTGATACATTCTTATGTCAAAGGAAAAAGTGCTACCATAAACAACCAAGGAGTCACTGTGGGTTGCATGCGAGATCCACTACTGGCAGGAGACCTTACCAACCAACAACTAAAAAAAAAAAAAGTCCCCTAGCAGAGGTTTAAAACAAAAACCGCCAGTCCTGTACTCCACATACAATGATACAGAAGGTGATGGTAACATCATCATGTGCTGTGAGCACTGCCAACCACCAGGTGGCTCCCTGAATTTACTGGGGGAGACTGCAGGTATACAAATAACTTCTTACAGTAAGACTATGACACTTTCTCCAAGGCAATATGTTGCAGAGTACACATGCACTTTACTAAAGTGGAATATAACTCCAAATTGCAATGGGCATCTGGTCCCTTCTAGTTTATTGAGGGTCTCCTAATATGCACAGGCATGTCCCAGATAAAAGGACACTTCTAGATTATTGAGGGAAGTCTCAACATATGCACATATTCTAGATAAATAGGTCACTTCTAGTTTGTGGGAGGGGGGCTCCTGATATACACAGGCTTGGTCTAGATAAATAGATATAATTGAATTGAAAGATTTCTCATTTGCGCAGGCTTACTCTAGGTGAATAGGTCGCTTCTAGTTTATCATGGAAGGGGGCGGAGGTTCCCTGATATGCACAGGCTTGTTCTGGGTACACAGGTCCCTTCTAGGTTATGGGGGGTTCCTGATGTGCGTAGGCTTGCTCTGGGTAAACAAATCCCTTCTAGGTTATTGGGGGGGGGGGCTACAAACTACATAGGCTTTGGTGCGAGATAGTCTATGTGTGGGGGGGGGGGGGGGGTGTCTCCAGATACATAGGCTGGTTCTATATAAGTAGATTAGGTATTAAAGGAAGGATTGTTGTTGCCCAATAGTTTAACCATCATACAATATAATGGCATCTGCATGCAGTGTCTATGTCACAGAACCGTCAATAATAGTGCAGTGACAGCTGTCAATAAGGGGTTAATGACAAATTCGTCAGTGAACTCAATTACAATTGTCTCCATGCTCCCCCCTCTCTGTACACACTCTCCCCGATCCTCACCACACTAATGACCCCAGCTTTCCAGGTCACCCTCAAACCACGGGCCACTGTTGTCCCAAACATGTCGCTGTCCTTCCCGGGACAACCTGCGCCGGGGTCCTTCCTGCAGCCGTCGCACAAAATGACGTCACTGGGGAGCCCTTGTGCTGCCTGTAGACTCAAGAAGCAAAATGCTACCTGACTTCCGGTGGAAGAGAGAACGCTGCACTGTTGATTCCTATTCTGTATTATACGCTAATTCCCAGACATAAGGATAAGGCAGCGTTATATAGAGGCCAGGTGTCTATAATTTTCGGTACCTGTGCCAGGCTTGTAGCTTTGCCAGTGGAATAGAGATATATAAGCTGTCATTTCAGAGTACTAAACATGCTAGAGTTTGGGTTTCCCCCCTTATCTTCAAGTGAAACCCGAACACTAGCACCACGCACGGCAATTTTTTTTTTTTTTTTTGGAGAATATAGAGGAGAGGCAGCCAGGAGAAAGATCAAGAAGAGACAGCTGGGAGAGGGAGAAGAGGGAGTAAGGAGACCGGCTATAGAGGACTACAGCAATACATTATACTGCAATACAAAATGATATGAGCTACATACTCTGTGATGTTCTGGGTTGGCACCCTGATGTCTCTAGGTGGCCTGTGTGGGCTCTCAGAAGGATGTGCGGGCTATGTGGCTCTCTGGTGGGCTGTGCACACTCTCAGGTGGTCTGTGTGGCTCTCAGGTGTACTGCGTGCACTCTCAGGTTGGCTGTGCACTTTCAGGTGGGCTGTGCACCTCTCGGGTGGGCTATGCGGCTTTCAGATGGGCTGTGTGACACTCGGGTGGGCTTCTGCGCCTCTCAGGCGGGCTGCCTGGGATATGCAGTCTAACCAGGCGGGCAGCACCGTTTCAGGGAGGCGGAGAAGAAAAAATCGATGTGCCAGGTCACTGTAAGCAAAACAGCAAAAAGTTTTCCTGGCACACTCACAAGCTAGCATGTAAAAAAAACTTATCTCACACTAAGGTTAACAACAGAGGTTTGGATACACGTCTTCTTCAGAAAATGTGAAAGCCGCACAGCCGGGCCAAGGCACCTCTTATAGTGCGGTTCTAACTCTAAACTATCAGAGTCTGTTCTTGGAGCACATGGGGCAGAAGATAAAATTGGGTGCAGGTTTGTCAGGAGGAAGCCCAACCCCCCTTAAAGGCACAGAGACGCACAAGGGATCCCGCACATCCCAATGGCAGCTGAGACCCCCAATGCATCACTGCACCAAATCAGTCAAGCAAAACAGATGACAAACGCACTCATCAATTCGTCACCAGCTTTACAGCAAGGTGCACACGGAATGGGCTTTAAACAGTAAAACAGCAAAATGTTTTCCTGGCACACTCACAAGCTAGGACTGCTGTGCGCCTCTCGGGGTGGGCTGTGCACCTCTCAGGTGGGCTGTGCGCCTCTCAGGTGGGCTGCCTAGGATGTGCAGTCTCACCAGGCGGGCAGCACCGTTCCAGGGAGTCGGAGAAGGAAAAATCGATGTGCAATTGTTTTCTATGTGTCCCATTTACACCACAGCACAGTGGATGTTGTGCTGCAATACAATGCAAACATGCTGTATATACACAATGTACACTCCACGTGAAGTTAAAAAAGAAAAAAAAATGTAATCAGTGACAGCTCCGGCAGTGTGTGATACCATGTACACTGCTGGAGCTGCCACAACACACTAGCCGGTCTGCTAAACACAGCATTTTAAAGGACATGCTAGTGTGAAGGGGCCCTAATTCATCTACAAATGCTCTTTTTGGGGGATTTAGAGCAGAATTCCAGCCAGATAACTTTTTGTAATTTCTTGTGGGCAAAGAATCTGCAGCAAAGAACACTTCAGTCTTGTGTGCAAATAGCCAACAGCTAGATTGGTTCCCTGTACAAATCAATGGCTGGCATCGCTGCTGTTTACATGAAACTGCTCATACAAGCAGTTATATGCAATTAGGGTCTCTGGGTGGCCCTCAACGTAGTTTATGGCTAGGGCCAGCATTCTCTGGCCGTATACAAACTGGATGCAGCTAATCGTCCAGTGTCTATGCGACCATAGCACAAAATGCTGTGTCCAGATGTGGCAGTTAGCTGCATCAGAACTCAGGAGCCTAATCACTCATGTGAATGAGCCCTCCACGTAGGAAGAGTAAGACTGCATTCGAACATTGTTCTGCATGTAATTATGTGTCGTGTTAAGGCAGCCCATTCTATTTAAATGCCAATGCATGACAATCCACACAACTAAGAGGCCTGCAGAATTTTATGTGTGTCACAATCAAAATTGGTTTTCACCTTCAAAGTGGATGAATACAATAGAAATTATTTTTCACCTACAAAGAATGTTGTGTACATCGCACGTTATAAATAGAGTTGCACAGATACCAAGTACAGTACGAGTACATGTACTGATACTTTTGAGCTCCAAGACTAGACTAGAGAAAAATGCAAAAATTAGGAGGCAGCTGTCATTTGTAAGGAGCATACGGGGCTCCTGGGATTTGTACATCTCTGTTTTAATGTACGATTTTGTTTTTATAAATAAAGGGATGCACCGATAGCAGTTTTGCAAGTACGAGTACTGGTACTTGCCGAGTACTTACAAGTACGAGTACTGATACATTTTTGTTTATTGTCATGTGACAGTTTTTCTTAAACAATACAGACTAATGATTTCAGGACAGTGGTGGAATGCCAGAGCCAGGTCCCAGCTGCAACCGCTGCAACCCTGGTAGTTCTCATGAAAATGCCAAGTATCGGCATTGGTACTCAAAAAGTATCTGTGCATCCCTAGTTATAAACCCTCAAAAAAGACAAATTATTTTACTTCTCTTTTATTACTGGTTTCAGTCTTTTTGAATAATTCGCTATACAGTCATCGGGTACACAGACTGTTAAAACCATTTATTATTCAGATTATTTAACTATTCATGTTTTACATCACACTCCACCCATTACTAATGACTTTTTCTTTTTGTAACAGACAACTTTTATAACAGGTGAAAAGTATGTGTGTGCAGCTGTTACCTTCAATGCTGTAACCTGAAGATATATTCCTGGACAGAAGCATCAACTGTATCTGCCTGAATAATTCATACTGGGTGTCAGTTGCTGTCAATCTTTTCTTATCGGTAACAAGGAGGTAAATTGCCCTGATCACTACATAGGTGGCTGCAGACCAAAAATTGGTAAAGCATTTTTAATACATATTTCAGTGCAAGTGTATTACCACAAACTTCATTTTTAAACATAAGGCAAAGAGGGAGAAAGGGCATGTATCTCATTGTCTTTCTAACCCAAGCGAATATAATCGACTTTCCCATTCACTTATTACAGTGGAGCTTACACTCTAATGTCCCCCCCACAGTCACATTACCTGCTGGCCGCAGGTAGCTTACACTGCTTCGTGACCCGCTGGACGCAGGGCTTCATCACCCGCTGGACACTAGACATGTGCACTGGCAAAAAAAACGCTTAGTTTCAACTTGTTTCGATTCTGATTTTTTGTTTTTCGGGATTCGGACGAAATTCGTTAGCGGTAGTCTGTACGAATGTTCATTTCCGTTTCATGTTCGTATCGGTCGTTTCATTGCAGCAAAGTGACATTAATTTATTTTTTTAAATTGTCACTTTGCTGCAATAAAAATTCTTCCACAAATGAAAATGCGTACAGACTGCCGCTAACGAATTTTGTCCGGAAAACTAATTTTTCCGAAATGAAACACACATATCTACTGGACGCAGGTCATAGGGCAATAGTGCTTGTAGCACCGCACCCAAACGCACTGCAGGCACAATGTGCCTTGCGATCGCATTGCGGCCGGAGGGCGTGGCTATGGCGCCATTCACTTCAATGGCCCGCCAGGCCCCCTCCTGCCCGGCAAAATAGTGAGTCGGTCGCAATGCGATGCAGTGCGTTCCGGCCGGAACGCACTGCAAGTGGTGTGAACAGGCCTTAAAACGATACCAAGAACACGGCAGCAGGAGCAGCCATTTTCTTGGTATAACCACTTCCAGCGGAGGACGTACATTTATGTCAACCCACGGGAAGTGGTTACAAAAAAACACACACACGTAATGAAACACACATATTACACACTCATTAAAAACACAGACACACATAGCTTCATTAATGGAAAAAAAAATCACAAACACACATTAAAAAAACACACAATAAAAACACACACACACACACAACTAATAACAATAGTTAATAAAAACATGTCCCCCTTTCCTGCTTACCTGTTTTGCAGGAAGGGGGGCTGCATTCCTGGGGTCCAGTGTGGCACTTGGATTATCCTAATGGTCGAGTGGAGGATCAGTGTGATCTGCATCTCAGGCTGATGCAGACCATACTAATTGATCCCTGCCAATCAGCGGCGGCACCACGAGGGATCGATCAGTATGATCTGCATCAGCAAGAGATGCAGATTATACTGATTCCCCGCTGGACCACCAGGGAATGATTTTCATTTATTATATTGCCGTTTTGGCAATACATTAAATGAGATGTGGGCACTTGCCAGGTTTAAAGATGGCCGCCGCTACTCGCGGTGGCCATCTTTAAAAACCTAATGTGCAGTCAGTCACAGACAGGGGGACACCGGAGGCCCACACAAAGAACACCAGGTGAGGATCTCGAGTGTGTGGGCCCCGGCTTCCTCCGGTGCTGCGGGGGGGACCTGGTCGCCTCCACCTACTGCCAGTCAACTGTACGGCTGTCGGCTGATATTCATGTAAGGTTCACGCATCCCGGGCCCCTTGCTTGACTATCGGCCGTACCCCCCTGACGGCGGCCCTGTGTGCACTGTTAGGGTAGAAGCTGATAAGGACCAGAGTTACAAGGGTCATTTCAATCATTTGTCTTCATTTTGCTTTTGGCTGAAGGGCAGCCTATCACAATAGATACAACATTGTCACCTGATCCAGCCATTTCTTATGTCTATAGACCACATTATTAAAAAGGTCAGAGCAGATTCTTTGATATCTGTTTGGAAGTGTATTGGTGGAAAGTCTACACTTGAAGCATATCTACTGTATACCCAAAAGCAAGCATTTAACATATTGCAGGTTACTAATCCTTAAATATGGTGGCTGCACTAGTTTTCTTTTTTTATTCTTTCTCTTTTAT